TGGTTTGCATTTTTAAGAGATCCTGTGGGTGAACTGTGCATGGGGTGCAAGATCAGAAGCAGGGAGACCAGGTAGGAGGCCATTGCAGTGGTCTATGAGAGAGTTGGCGGTGGCGTGGACTAGGCGGTGACAATGGAGGTGAGAAAAATGGTCAGATTCTAGAGGTGTTTTGATTACTTTCTGTTTATGTATTTTCTCCCCAATGAACCCAGGACCTTCTTGACCTTCTTCATGTCTGAGTGATCTTTGGATTCCCATCCTACACCCTAAACAGTTAGTTTCTCTGAGATCTGCCACAGTGAATGTGACAGGAGGTAATGGCAGTTGGATAGAAACTTGGGCATGAGGCAGAAGTTCTGAGACTTCCTTCTAGTTGCTCTAATGGGCTTCTCCCTCTGCCTTTTTCCTTCTTTGCCCCTTAGTGTCACCTAAAAGAATCGAAGTATGTTTGGGAGGGAAGAAAACTCAGGAGTTACGGAGTTGCTCCTCTGTGCTAGTAACTGGGCTCCATGTCTTCATATAGATTACTTCATTTGGGTTAACTTATTTCATATGTATAAAAACATCTAATCCTATCCATTCATTTTAGAGACAAGCCGATTAAGAACCCCAAAAGGAAAGGGACTTTATAAAGTTGGGTAGAAAGGTCAAGTTGTCATAGCATAAAGCAGTCACTATTTTGAGTCCCTCATAGACTGCTCTTCCCATTTAACACCCAAATGCTATTTGTCTACACCCATTTGGCTAAGGTCTTTTTCAGTCTCATGTTAATTGTTAACATTACCTAATCCCAATAAATCTCTTGGTGAAATTGCAAGTCTTGAAAAGGATTCAAGGTTTCATGAAGTCAATGAAAGTGATGTTGGAGACCATCTCTAATGTCATGTAAAGTCTTTGATAAATGGGGATTTGGCAGAGATAGGCCAGTTATCCCTGGCAGAAGAGAAAATTGACCTGGATAATGACAGGATCAAGGCTTCAAAGAGAATGATTCAACTCTCAAAGGATTACAAGAGGTCCTTGGGATAATTGAAGAAGCTCTCTAATTTTGGAAAAAAAAAAACAAAAACTCTGCTTATGACTGTGCTGCAAAAGTCAATATTGTCCTCTCAGGTACTTTGGTCAGGAAAATTACATTATCCCCCAGTGCTTGACTCATACTTTGCCTATTGTAAGAATTAGTGCATATTTGTAATTATTTATACATTTATACATTTTGTACATTTTAAATGGAAACTAAAATAGTTTCCACGTTTCCCATTTTATTTCTCAAGATGAAGCCCTGGCCAAATCCTTTTCCCCTTTTCTTCTGCTCTACTGTGAAATGTTGGTCCCCATTTCAAGTGGATTCATAGTAAGTGGCCTTTTTCTAGTACCACTTATCCTCAAATAACAAGGACTTAATGTGGCCACAGCCTTCTCTTCACCCAGTGATTGTAACGCCTGGCTGCACATTAGAATCACTTGTGGAGTTTTCTAAACAGTACTGAAGCTGGGACTCCCACCCCAAACTAATTAAATCAGACTTTCTGCTGGTAAGGCCAGAACTAAAGCTCTCCAGGTGATTCTGATATACTGCCAGGGCTGTGAGCCACTGCCATGTTTCCTCCTCGCCCATGCTGAGGCTGGAAGAGACAGGCTGTCTGCAGTTGGACTGACCTGAAGAGAGAGTGCCAAGGCCTGGGCCTGGGCCTGGGCCTGGCTGAAGGAGGGAGGGCCCAGAGAGGCAGCTGTAGAGTGATGGTAGCTTAGTCCAGGAGTGAAACGATGACATATGGCTGGTAGAGCTACTTCCTTGTCACAGTCATGGTGCCCTTTACTCCCTTAGCACTGTGGGTGTATTGGCACCTCTGCTTTTATATGTGGTAGGTTAGTTTGGGACCTGCAATCCCTCATCTCTCTTTCCTATGACCAAGGCCAAGAGAACCTGGCACCCTCCTCTTGGGCATTCAGTGAGACAAAAATGCTAATGTTTAAAAAAAAAAAAAAAAAAAGCTAATGTTATAGTGGGTGTATTATGGTTGTCCAATGCATAAAGTCATATTATTGTGTGGATTTATAATGTCTATTTCCTGCTGTTTTGCCAGCACCCAGTGCACTGTTTGATATATAGTCATTGCTCAGTAGGTATATTTTGAATGAATGACTAAGTTGAACACAGGCAGGATGTAATCAGTACCATGATTAAGGGACAAAGTGTTATTGAAGTACAGAGGAGGAAGAGATTTTTTCCAGCTCAATAGAGGGGGAATGTGGAAATCTTCATAGCAGAGGTGGCATTTGAGCTGGACTTTGAAAACTAGGAAAGTCAGTGATAGGCAGAGATGCAAAGAGGGCATTCCAGTGCAGAAGAGACAGTGTGAGCCAAGGGTGGGAGATGAGACTATGCAGAGCTCATTCAGATACCAACCAGTAGGGCAGTGGGGCGTGGATGTGAGTCTATGAGCACCTACGGGGGAAGATCAGACTGGTAGTATATGATCAAAAAACAAAGAGCCTTGAATGGCATGCTCAGTTTACCCTTGATTCTATGGACAACATGGAGCCATCCGATATTTTTTATGTTTTCCAGGGGTGTAATGTTTGCTTTAGGGAGATTAGCTGTGTCCTCTAGGAAACTCAACCATGGCAGCAATGGTTTCACACAAAACCTCTTTCAAGTGTCTCTGAAGCGTGTGGGACTGTGCTACGTGGAGGATGGATCAGAGCTGGAGTGACTAGACAAGTTGGTTAGTAGGCTACTGCAGTAGTCCAGGCAAAAGCTACTGAAGGCCTGAAACAGCTTAGTGGGAGTCAGGGTGGAAAGTAGAGGAAGGATTTGACACCTCTTACAAAAGCAGAATGATGGAACTTGCTGACTGTTTTAGGTGGGGGTGAAGGAAAGAGAAGAAAGACTGAGTGACTAATGATAATAACAACAATCAGCATGTGAGTGGCTCCTTTGTGCCAGCTGTTTTGCCAAGTGCTTCATGTACTACACCATCTAATTCTCACAGTAACCCTTGTGATAGATGAGGACACCAAGGTTCAAGGAAGTAAAGGAACTCTTGTCCAAGCTCATACAAGGACATGGTGATGGCAGCACTGGCCCATCTAGAGTGGCTGCTGCCAAGACATGAGCTGCAGCAGGAAGGTTTGGTCCAGGCCTTCTGCTCCACAGAACAGGCAGGAGCCCTAAGCCCCCAGGCCTGGGCCTCCCACTCCACAAAGCAGGCAGAAGACCCACCCTCCCAGGGGGGACTGCAGCTGCCCAAGTTGTGCCTGCAGATATGAGTATCCCTGTGCTCTTGAGGGGCTGAGAGCAGGCAGGAACCCTGCCCTCCAGGGCACAGCTGCAGCTGCACAAACCATGGCTGCAGACCCAAGCCTCCTGCTCCATAGAGCAGGCAGGTGCCCTGCTCCCCCAGGTGTAGCTGCAGCTGCCCAAACCATTGTTGCAGCTTCGAGTATCCCTGGACTTTTAGGGGCCCAGGAAGGCCCCCCTGTCCTTGTGGGCTCAGAAGTACCTGCTCCCACTGCCTGGCTTCTCCTTGCTGCCAGCACACCCTCTGGTCTTGGAGCAAATTTGGGCCAAGCCTGGGCACCATGAATGGCAGCAGGAGGCAGATAGGTTCCTCAGTGAAAGGGGACAGGTCCCTGATGAGGCTCCACCTTCAGACCAAGGAGGTTCTGAAGGCTGGGGGTCAGGCTGCCAGTCCCACAGACTGGAGTGGGAACTTGTGATGCCTTTTCTGGGCCTGCTTATGGCTGCCCATGGGCCAATTGGTGCACATTTCCTCCCCTCTGAGGCCCATAAAAGCCTTAGGCTCAGCCAGAGCTGAGCAGATGACAGGATGGGCAGCTGCAGAGAGGAGCTACCCTCTCTGCTGAGAGCTTCAGAGACCTGCAGAGATGTTGGGACTACCAGCTGCAGAGAGGAGCTACCCTCTCCAGAGCCTCCTCTCTGCTGAGAACTGCAGAGCTGACAGGATGACCTGCCTGCAGAGAGGAGCTAACCGCTCTAGGTCCCCTCTGAGCTGTTCTAACACTCAGTAAAGCTCCTCTTTGTCTTGCTTACCCTCCACTTGTCTATGTACCTCATTCTGCCTGGATGCAGGACAAGAACTTGGGCAAAGGTGTCACTGACCACAGAGGTTTCCAGCCAGAAAAGTGATGCTCCAAAGATCCCATAGCAATGGCACTGGCTAGACTCAGAACTCATACAGTCTGGCTCCAGAAACCATACTGTGACTTCCATGCTGTGCTGCTTTTGGGGAAGCAGAGTGGGCTAGTGGTTTCTCGGCAAAGTAGTTTGGCGGCTCAGTCAGGACATCAGCTTCTCTCCTGATCATGCCCTCCTTTCCCCATTCATGTGAAAGCAGTGGTAGTGATGGAGAGCCCTGTCTGCCAGCCTTCCAGCAGTTGTCCCCAAGTGGCCTTCCTCCTGTGGTGGTAAGATGGGTCTGGTGAAGAGGTGTAGGAGAGATGAGGCTGGCAGACTAGAACCAAAGGCTGCAACAAAAGCAACAACTGGCAATCCCCAGGCCACTTGGAGCCTGCAGACTTGTTTAACCCTCATGGAGGTAGGTTGGTTGGTTGGTTTTAGACTTGAGCCAACATTTATGAATTAGGGAGCTTCATGTTGGAATCCCAAGTCCTAACTTCCCTTGAAGAATGAGAAGATTTGGCAACACTAGACCTACATCCCCCAAGACAACTTGGGGCTTCAGCTGCTTCCTTTGCACATGTCCTGCAGTTCTGAGCACTCACATTGGAGTCTGCATTTTTCCCCAACCTGGCCTACTTCACTCTGTACAGTGATCTGCCTGATCCCTGCAGGTGGCTGGCTTTGTGAGTCCTTGTCTAGAATGGTCTACTACAGTTTACCCTTTCTTCCTGAGGTTTGAGCCAACAGGGAGCCAGGCACAGGGTCAGCATCTCTGGTCCCACCCCGTCCCCAAGCCAAAGACTTTTCCAATGCAGCAAGCCGGACTCCACAGAACAAAGCCATGAAGGGAGGGTTATCATCAAGTCTTACCATTTATTTCTTTATGGGGTTAAACAAGAGCAGAGAAGCCTCTGCCCCACAATGCAACAAAACAGAAAGCAGTACACATACAGAGACTCTCACCAAAACACAGAGTCGGGGTAAGAGGGAGGGCAGAGACAACTGAATCATAGCCAGGTAATGGAGGAAGGGATGGGGGACTACTAGGAAACCAGCTCGGACACTCAGTCATAGGAACTAGTGCAAGAAAGTCCTACTCATGAAGCACAGTGTAGAAAATGGCATAAGAAAGCTGTCCGGCTCTGCTGCCTGTGATGGAGGGCAGGGACAGCCAGAGAGGTGGTGGAAGATTAGGGTAGTGGGGTGAATGGAGGCAGTCAAATGACTCTGAGGTGGTGAGGTGCCCCTTTCCTCTGCCACTGGGCAAGGCCTTGGGCTGGTCTGAGCCAGGGGTCTCCTGGGCACTTGGTGAGGGGGAAGAGAGGATGGGAGTCTCCAAGGGTCCATTCCCTGGGGTCATATGGTTCCCCTTTACTTCCCAGTCCTTTTTCCCCTCCTGAGGATGCAGGAGTTAGAAGGCAGTACCTGGGGTCTCTCTGGAGCCCAAGCACCCGCCCCTTTACTTATACATAAGCATGTCTGGAAAGGAGCCAGCACCTCTTCCCCTCCCCAGCTGAAAAGAGCTCTAGGGTTGGGGTATGTGGCCAGGCATGAAGTGCTGAGGGCCAAACAGGGGAGTGTGTGGGCAGGGCACAGGAGTTGGGGACAGGCTGTAAGAAATGAGAAAACTGGCAGGGAAGGACTCCCCAGTCTCATGTAACCAATCTGGGACCCAGTTGAGGCCCATGAATGATTCCCTCTCCACTAGGGAGGCCTCTCATTCATCCCTAAGCTAACCAACGCCAGGTCATCTGCTTCTTGGTTTCAGTCTCACGCAGCTCCAGGCCCACCCTCCCATTCACTCACTAGTATCGCATCCCAGAAGGACACAGGCCTCGTTGGCACTAAAAACTCCCTGGCCTCTCCCAGGAATACGGCTCTGGCTCCCTTTCCTGTCAGTTCTTAACCAGCATTCAGATGTCCCAGGCAATGTGGGATTCCCCCTATTCCCCACCCCCACGCAGCAGACCAGAGCAAGACTAATGGCCCCCAAGGGGCTCTCAGTGCCTCTTCCCTTTTCCAGCCCTCTAGCCTGACTCAAGTTTCTCAGCCAAGGGATGACAGCACATGATCTTTAGTCAAAGGGTCTTCTTGCCAGTCCCTAGACTTTCTCTAGCAAGGGACTGGGGTGACTGCAGCAGAAGATCCTGCTACAGGGTGTAGAGGAGTCTGGTTGTTTCACAATTGGGACAGTGACCCATGGGGTCAGGGATGGAAAGGCATGAATACTCTTTGGTAGGCTGGGGATGGGGATGGGGAGGGGAGGGGAGGCTCACCTCTGGAGAGCTCTGGGGCAATGCCACCAGTTTCTCCTTCATGGAGGCCTGGGCTAGGACAAGATAGGGGAGTATGAGGACCCTGGCCAGGCCTGATCCACTTGGGTTTAAGTCCTTCCTCCCCATGGAGATAGGAAATGTTAATGTCTTTGGCCCTAAGACCAAGATCTCCAGGGCAAGGGAGGCCCTTGGGAGTATGTGCACCTTCTGTAAGATATGGTCCTTCAGACAGCAGCAGTCTAACCATGCGCCTGCAGCCTTTTGCTTTAAGGCCCAGCAACTCAGTTCCTGTGCTCTTTTTTTCCCAGAGGACTCCTAATGCAACTCTCTCTGTTTTGGGGAGCAGTTTTCAAGCCTGCCTCAACACTTATCATCCATCTCCCCAAAGCTGGGTGGCAGTAGCCTATTCGACCATCTCTTCAAGCCCTCTGCCCACATTTCTCCTCTCCTGTCCACCTTCCCTATCTTCACCCTCTTTCACCACTCATTCTGTACCCCGTTCCTGCCCCTCAGTGCCTAGGGTGGTGAGGCACAGCTTAACTGGGGCCCCGACCTAGCTGCAACTGTGTGCACCTCAAATCCCAGCCTGGTGCTTCACCTGCGATAGTCCCAGGTGGGGCAAGGTGTGTTGAAGTGGCAGGAGGGTCATTGCACTGTCTGCCGTCGCCTGTTGGGATATGGGCAGGAGGGAATTAAGGATCTTGGCAACAAAAGGAATGTGGAGGGGGGAAAGAGTGTCTCCCCTCTGTGCCCCCCAACATTCCCTACAGGGCCCAGGCTGGGTGAGCAGCCTCCTTCCCTGGGGTCAGGGCTCTTGGCAGGGGTGGGCATATCCAGCCCCCACTTCCTCCCTTTTTTTGCTAAGCCCCATAGATGAGGGCTTGGGAGGGGTCACCTGCTGCTCCTGCCTTTTTCACCCAGATGAGTTTTGCAGCTCCTTGGGGCCCTCTGGCCATTCTGTTGGAGCTGCTTTTGGGGTGGGGGTAGGTTGGGGGGATGTGTGGTTCCCCCATTTCCCCCTGCCCCCACCTTTCCTATACCTCTCATGGGAGGAGCCACCTTCCCCCCACTTGGGGGAGCTGGAGCTGATATCAGCGTGTGGTGGAGGTCTGTCCTCCCTACTGTCACTCTTCCCGTGTCAGGCCCTCCTCTAGGGCAGGCAGTGTCTCCAACCCCAATCCCCCACCACCCTGGTTGTTGGAGAAGGACACCACGGTATGGAGGAGCATGAGAACAAGGATGCAGAGCCGGATCCTGCTAGGGCTGAGGCGGGAGCCCCCAGAGACCGGCAGCAGGGCAGGCTTGTTGCTGACATGGCCCGGGGGATCATGACGGGGGTGGTAGTGGTGGTACTGTTGGTGGTAGTGGTGGAAATAGGAGTGGTGGAATTGCTGGTGGTGGGTTTTGGGGGCCTCAGACTCCTTGATCTTCTTCTTCTTTGCCTCACAGGAGACCCACTGCACATCACAGCACTTGGTTTCCGGCCGCTTTGGTGAAGTATCCAGCAACCCTGCCAATGGATAAGGAAGGTCTGGTGGGGTGCTTGGGGAGCTGATGGCTGCGCCTTATCTAGGGATCAGGTTTCCAGGGCTGGGGATGCTCACGTAGCCTCATCCAAGGCTCCTTCCCCCCTAGCCATCAACACTTTCCATTCCTGAGCCCTTCTTTTCTGGGGACCCCAGTCAGTTTCCTCGGGATGAATCCTTGGATGTGTTCTGGCCAGAGAAAGGCACTCTGGTCTTTTTCCCCATTCCACTTGACCCTGTCCCAACCTGGGGACCTCACTGTCCATTTGTCCAGCCACTGGCCTTCTTCTCACCTGACTCCCCTGTTGTTCTCCCTGCTCCCACTTCTCTGACCTGATGCCTGCCCTGGGTCCCTGGCCTCCTCCCTCTTCCCCAGTGCCCTGCCTTTACCTGTACAGATAAAGCCAGGGAGCCCTCCGTACACCATTTCCTCATTGTCGGGGAGTATAAAGGGGCACCGGGTCTGCACCTCCAGGCAGTATTGCTTGCAGGGCACCCAGCGCTGGCATTCCTGCTGGGTCACGCTGAAGTATTCTGAGCACAGCCAGGCCTTGTAGACAGCCTGTGGGGAGAGGAAAGAGCATCAGCCCACATACCAGCCCCTTCCCACCTCAGAGGACCGGGATAGGGGACCATAATTGTGATCTCTCAAGGGGGCCTCACCAGCCTAACCCCAGGATCCAGGGGGTAAAGAGGAAGAAGGACTTGGGTCAAGGACTTGGCCAAGAAGGACTTGGCCACTACATTTTACCTAAGATCTCCCATCTCATAACGAGGACTCTCAAGACCCCCCAGTCTGCAGTCATCCAAAACTCAGAATTTGTGTGTTGGCAAAAATCACAAAATTACTCCTAGGTCAGAACTGGAAGGAGCCTTAGCAATCATCCCATGCAACCCTGGTCCAAGGAAGTCTCTTGACTTGTCTGAGACTACCTATATATAATGAGGCAAATTTCAGTACTGTTCAATTCAGCAAACATTTCCTTGGCTGACGGTATTGAGTTTCTAAATTCAAGAAAGCGAAAGAACAGTCCTTGCTCTACCTAATTAGGGTGTTGTATGGATGAAACAACATGGCACATATGAAAATGTTTTGTAAACTCTAAAGTGTAATGCAAATGTGAGGGGTTATTTTTAATAAAAAAACAGGAACCTGCCTTACCAGGCACCACGCGTGCCTTTGACCTCTACTTGATCCATGCTCTGCTCTAATGGCTTCTGCTCTGGCATGGAGCAGACATGACACACACTGCTACATTTCATTTGGAACCTCTGCTTTGCAGTTTCACTTCATGGGTATACTTCCTGTCCCTCATCTAGCCCACCTCTACCAGGCCCTGGGTGCTAGCTAAGAAAGGTTCCCTGCTCCATGCTATTTGTTTATCGTTTAGTCCAGGGTTTCTTCCAGTGATACTACTGACATTTTGGGTCAGATAATTCTTTGCTCTGGGGGTTGTCCTGTGCATTGCAGGATATTGTTCAGCATCTCTGGCCTCTACCCATTAGATACCAGTAGCATTCTCTCCCCTCATGTATTGTGAAAAACAAAAACAAAAACTTGTCTCTAGCCATTGTCAAATGTCCCCCCGGGGTAGGAGAATTCTCTCCAGTTGTGGACCACTGATCTAGGTCCTTGCTCCTCAAAGTATGGACCTGGACCAGCAGCATCACCATCACCTGGGAGCTTGTGAGAGATGCTGAATCTCAGGCTCCACTCCCGATCTGTCAAGTCAGCATCTGCATTTTAACATATGCCCAGATGGCTTTCATGCACCTTGCCTGTTCCTGTCTCACTACCCACATCCAGTCCTGGTATCTTTAGGGGAGCTTTCTAGGTTCATCATTGTTCCTCACAGCAATGGTTCTTAGACTTCAGTGTGCCTCAGAACCCTCTGAAGAATTCGTTAAATATGCAGATGTCTCCCTCTGTTTCAGCTTCAAGAGGACAGAGGTGGGCTCAGAATCTGCATTTTTGAGCCAGGGGGTCACTGTGCTACAGGAAGCTTTTCCACCATACTCTGAGCAACATGGTTTTAGAAGCACTGTCAGTTTCTTATACTCACTTTAAACATTTTCACTAAACTATAAATAACTCTGCTGTGAACATTGACTTTGGCAATGCAATCCCACACTGGCCTTTTCCAGAGTAGGGGCATACTAGTGGGTGACGGGGTAGGTGGTGGTGCAAATCAATCCCACAAGGAGCAAAGCATTGCTTGGGACTTTGGTATCTCACAGGCATCTCAAATTTAACAAGTTCTAAATTTTAAAATGTAGATCTTACTTTTTTAATCCCAAATCCACTGTCCTCCTCAAGTCTTGACCATTCAGTGAGTGCCAGAAAACCATTTCAGTGAGTGCCATGAAACATAGATGCCAGCTTTCATGTCTCTTTCTCTGTATCCCCTCATCTAGTTTATCAGCAAGGCATGCCAATTGTAGCTCCACATCCATCCCTTTGGGCAGACCATCATCATCTCTCACCTGGATGACAGTCTCGCATCTGGCCTCCTCACCTGCATTATCCACCGTCCACACAGGAGGAAGAGTGGTCTCAAAACACAATTGACTCATGTTACTCCTTTGCTCCAAACCCTTCAATGGATTTATACTGAAACTTCTGACCACAGATTTCTAGCCCTCGTATAACTTTGCTCCTGTCTCTCTCTTCAACTTCATTTTCTTTCTTTTCCTTGAACATACCCTACTTCTTCCCACCTCAGGGCCTTGGAACATGCTGTTCTTTTGTTCTGGAATGCTCTTCTCCCTACTCTTGACATGCCTGGGTCACTCTTATTTTTCAGGTCTCAGTTTAAATGTCCCCTCATCAGAGAAGGTCTCCCTTACCCCTCTCACCAAATGATGCTGCCCTCATTATTCTCTTTTCCTTAATTGTTTCTTCACCACAAGTATTACTTTCTCTGCACTCTTGTTTCCTTTCTGTCAGCCCCACTAAAATGTGAGTTGCATGTAAGCAGACATGGGTTTACTTTATTAACCATTGTGTACTTTACACAATATATACTAAAAAAATCTGTTGATTGAATAAACAGATGGGGACATGTTCCTAGGCTCATGAAAATTCGTTTCATGGGTAGACACATCTAACTTGAATCTATGGCATGTGATCTATACCACAGGAGAGTTCAAACCATGGACCACTGGAGGGAAGCAAGTAGAGAAGCAGGGAAAGGTTCCAGTGTGGGGAGAACAGTTGAGCTTGGACTCAAATCAGGATTTTAGATGGGGTGTATGGAGATGAGGTAAATGGGCATTCCAAGCTGAGGCAACAGCTTAAGCAAAGGTATGTCAGCAAACAAATTCATGGTGTGTTAAGAGAACAGAGAATGGTTTTGTGTGAATGGAATAAAAAGGGCACCAATCTCTTGTTCACAGACATTTATTTCCACATTTTTACTATTATGAACAACACTCCAGTGACTATCTTTATACATACATCTCTTGCACACTTGTGTTAAATTTTATTTATATCAATTCCTGAATATGAAGTTATTGGACTAAAAGAACATGTGAAAAGGAATGGGAAAGGAGTGAAAGGAGGGTAAAAAAAGGAGTGAAAATTGGAGGCAGGGTAAGAGAGCTGGAAGGTTAAAAAAGGGCAGGAAGAGAAATGGCTTGAGGGGTATGAGAGAGTGGCAGCTGGAGCAAGGGGTGGAAGACAGGAAGTGTGTAGGAAAGAGAGGGTAAGGAATAGTAGGAATAGTGGAGGTAGGAAACAATGGTGTTGAGAAGAAACAACCAGGGAATTAGAGGTGGAGGGTGTAAAAGAGGTGAAGGGGTAAGAGTGGGGTGAGGGTGAAAGAAGTTGAAAGGCAGGGACATAAGAAAGGGTGAGATGGGGGTAAGTGGGGCTGTTAAGAGAAAGTGGTAAGAAAGAGAGTAAGAAAGACGGGTGATAACAAGCAGGGGGTGAATAAGATGGAATAAGAGTGGCTAAGAAAGATGGGAGCATAAGAAAGCAAAGATAAGGAAGATGGGTAAGAAAGCACAAGAAGGGAAGGAGAAAGAAACAGAAGTTAAGGCAGGAAAGAACATGAAATTACAAGAACTAAGGGTTCCAGTACCTTAGAGACTTGCCTCCATCTTTTGAGCCCCACAGTGCCAAGACGAGTCTCTGTCCATGGGCTCTGCCCCAGTGTCTGAAGCCTGGACCCAGAGCCTGCCTCACCCTTACCCCAAAATGTGTGCAATTGGCCCCCTCCCAACCCTGCATCCATTGGTGGGACTCAGAAGTCCATGTAGAATTCTTTCTGGGCTCTTCTAGTTCAATGTTCCTGGTCCTAGGTGAGGAGGCCCCAGTGGAGTTCCTGCCCTACTCCCAGGCAACTGCAATTAACCCAGTAACAGGCTATGGTGGCTGGGCGGTCCCCTCATCTGCTCCTGGAGGGAGGAAGGGAGGGAGGCAGCCAGGGTAGGTTGGGGAAGGGATAGAGATGACCCGACATTGGGAGTGTGGCCCTTCTCCTTAATTAAACGACCTCCCCACTCAGTCCCCACACCCCCAGCCAGAGTCACCATGACAAGTGGATGAGCAGATTGCTTGGGGAGGATACCAGGCCTGTGGGTGGTGAGGCAGGAACAGGCAAGGAGCTAATGAGGGGAATGGAAGAAGAAGAGTGATGCAGGGCTCAGAGGTAATCCAATTCCTCAGCCTCACAGAAGGCCAGTGGAGGCCATTGTTATCCCTCATGCCTCAGAGGTGGCCTGGGGTCCTTCTCAGGTGAAAGATCTGGCTCTCTGTGTTTGTTGCAGCTTGGGCAACAAGCCTGCCTTAGACTCTGCAGCCCTGTTTCTAAGATGGACCTAGGTAGCTTGTCCTGTCTCATCAGTGTTAGGACTGAGGGAGGGGTTGACAGGGGGAGGTTGTTTAGGCATTCACAGGGGCCTGGGCACTTGTCTACAAGGATGGAGGAAAGCCAGGAGGGCCCAGCTTAGGAGAACTGTGGGGCTTGCTGGAGGCAAGGCCTGCAGGGAAAGGGTAGAAATGTCTTAGAACCAGGTAACAGTCAGCTGGGAGAACCCTGGACCTCTTTTGTTTTCCAGTATCTCAACTATGGCTGCATATCACAATCACTCAGAGAGCTTCCAAAAAATACTCCTGTCTGGGCTGGGTAATACCAGCACCTTGGGAGGCTGAAGCCGGTGGATCACTTGAGTCCAGGAGTTTGACACTAGCCTGGGCAACATGATGAAACCCTGTCTCTACAAAAAATATTACTGGGAGTGGTGTTGCACACCTGGGATCCCACCTATTGAGGATGCTGAGGTGGGAAGGTCACCTTTGCCTGGGAGGCAGAGGTTGCATTGAGCCGAGATCACACCATTGCACTCCAACCTGGGTGACAGAGTGAGACTTTGTTTCAAAAAATGAAAAAAAAAAAAAATACTCCTGTCTGGCTCACATTACGCCCAGAGCAACTAAGTCAGAATCCTTATGGATGGAGCTACACATCTGTAGTTTTTCAAAATAACTCAGGCAATTTTAGTATGCAGCCAGGCTTGAGAACCATCGATTTGGTCCTACTTCATCATTTCACAAAT